GTGAAAGTTAGGATTTTTGTGTTATTCATCATAGCATCCATCCTCCCCCTTATTTTTTAAGTTCATAACCCGAACAAAGGACGGGTACCTCAGCTTGTATTTTATAAAGCCACACAAGGTTATTTACACTAGCCATCCATAACTTTCGACTGATAGACTGAAAGGAATGCAACTAGTCGACAGTACCCACCGCCAAATCTTGGAATACTCTAATCGAATAGTGGGGTTTGACTGTCACTCTTTTAACGTACACACGAATCGTGGACTCTATCGAATTCACAGTCTGGCACGCTAACCATTAGGCCCGAAAAAAAAAGCTAACAAACTAGGAAAGAAATATTCAAGATCGGTTAAAATTAGGTTGTAAAATAAAGAAGTGGCGCGTATTTCATCATTCTAAATTTTTAGAATTCTTTAATATTCGGAGTTCGAGACACAGGGACAATTTCTTCTTTGGACTTAAAAGCCGTATTAGCTAATAAACAAAAAATTAATTGAATTGCTGTTTCGACTTGAAAACGTTAAGCTAATCGTCCAAGCTGTTCCCGCTATAGCTCCTGTTATATTCATCTTCGCACCAAGGACGAGTCAACATGTTCTAAAACAGTCGTCACCCGTAACTCGCCTTGACGAGGCCTAATAATAAGACCTGTTTCTAACTTTGAATGAGCACAGCTGTTGCTTTTAAAGGTCAAAGTGCACTTATCGTTGTTATTCTTCCGTATTCATAGCGAAGCTTATCTAAATATAATAACAGTATGTTAGGAATGAAACGGATATCAAATATGTAAATGTTTTTTCATTAACGTAATAGTCACAGTTTTTTTCATGCTGCCACTCCTCCGTAGAAAAAACAACAACAACTCCAAACAGAGTATAAACTACTTAAGCATGAAACTTGTCACTCTAAAATAGTCCAAAACTACTGTTGTTCATTGATTATTAAACTGTGAATTCAGAGAACAACCACTAATTAAACAGGATTTATTACTTATGCCAATGTAGACTTTATACGGCAGATATCCAATTTGTAACACTTAAAACTCCTTTATGCAACAATAAATAAATTTTGTTAGACAATACATTTAGAACAGTTACATGTGCGCTAGCCACTTCTTTATCATATATTCATGAAATTTGTTTAAACGTAGCATCACCTGCTTAACACAGCAGTGTACTGTTAAGTTAAAGATTAGGCTAGACTTCACAATTTCAGGGGCAATCGTAGGGCACCACATGATATCCGCCCTTACTTTGTAAGTTATGTTTGTGTTCACTAGCTGTTTCTTCCAGTTTTATTAAAATCATTGGCCGGGTGTCACCACCCTTATAAGGTCGTGTGGAAATGATCCTGTTGTGGTATTGTAGGTATTGTGGGAACAAACAGTATGGTGATGCGTAGCTTTTGCACTATTTTGTACAATACACTGATGTTTATTTTAATAACACGTCATTGATTATTTGGAGTCTGTCAAAGAATTAGCTTAGTAAAAACAACAGAAAAAGTAAGTTTTGTTTACCTTAGAGCAAAGCCACATTGGGCTATCTCAGCAGGGAATCGAACCCTAGATTCTAGCATACTAAGTCCGTAAACTTACCGCTGTCCCACCTTAAAGAAAGCAAGCACATGAAAACTCGTACAGATATTCACTATGCAGCAACTTATCTGTATCCTTATTCACAGTTATTTCAGTACAACTAAAGACAGAGAGACAAGTTACCAATGCATTATCTCATTTTTAACAAAAGAACAATCATCTAAGCATTAAATCATACTAAGATTAGCTCAGTTAACTGTTAAATGCAGCCCGATGGTATCAGCGTTACTCAGTGGCTTCTCGCTATGGACTCGTAGTCCTATCTATGGTTGCTGTTGTGCCATTGAGCAAAGAAGACATTTTATCCTATTTATTTTAGCCGTTGGTTAGGTGTTAACCTGCGTTGGACTGGCATATCGTCCAAGGAGGGTAGGGTGTCATTCTCATCCGTTTGAGCCAGTCAAGCCAGAGTTCAGAACTCGATCCTTCGTGCAATGTCGGCATGGAAGAAATTCATTATTTTGACCAATAGCATTAGCAGAGCCATGTGTTAACTATTTGCAAGATATACAGTTCGAATTGTACATCTCTTTCCTAGAGCAAATTGACAAGTTTAACTTTCCCACGTTACAGCCCACCCCCTCCTCCGTCTCTCTACTCTTAAATGTTAATTTCATCTTTACAAAGGATTTTAACTTTTCCATGCCGTGGGCATATATACGTCCTCAGATGAGAAATAAATATTGAAACACGTATC